GCCACTAAACGAATGAAAAGGCAGCCAAGGATATGATAACAACAACATAATTCATTCCTAATGTACTCTTGCATGAGGGTTATATTTTACATTGATTTTTACAGTAGCGAAGTAAATGTGGTTTATAGGTGACTTTTGAGTTCGTTTGGGGCTGTCTGTAGATCAGCACCAATTTTTCAATCTTTTTGCCTGTAAAACATATATGAATTATCGACCAGTAGAGGTAAATTCGGCTATATGACTTTGTTATGATGTTAAAATTGTAGGTGAAGTACACAAATGTCTCCCGACTGATTTGTTGAGTTCAATGATTATAAAATTTATAAAATGGCCACTCGACTATTCTATAGGTTTTAAATTCGTCTTTTTATGTTAAAAAATTAATGGTGGTTTGAGTTGGTTTTTAACATGTTGATTGAGATATGGTAGTATTTGAGATTATGAGATAAGATTTTATCATATTTCAGTCACCAGATTAATGTAAAACTCATAATTTTGTTAAAATTTTTGGAATAGTTGGGTGATCATTTTGAAACTTTTAATAATTGAGGAACTTAACAAAGTAACTCTCGATAGTTAATGGATTATTTTGTAACTTTTAATAGTTAAAGTACTTAATAAAGCATTATCTTCTAGTCAATGACCATTGTATACTTTATCATATAATTATTAAAAATTATTGTATAGTATTTTTTTAAATAATTTTTCTTGCAAAAATAATAATAATATTTCATTAATTTAGCCTAACATTTGCGATATTTTATATAGTATTTATTCTTATAGTATCTTTATTGGTCATTATCTTAGAAAAAAACTAAAAGCTAAAAGGTTGATGTATTATAACTTTGTATCAATTATTTGAGCATTTACTATTTTTTTTATTTAAAGTATACAAATGGTCCTTGACTATAGGGATTATTTTATTAAACTCTCGACTATTAAAAGTTAAATAATGGTCAATCAATTATTCATTATGATCCAAACTAGTCATGTTTCGTTAAAACTTGGTGGTTGTCTAAGCTGGACATTAACATGATGACTGAGATATGATAGTCGTTTGAGATTATATGATCATATTTTATCATATTACAATCAACATATTAACATTTAGCTTAGAATACCATCAATTTTTAACAGAAAATGATGAATTTGGAACATAATGAATAGTCGTGTGATCATTTTATAACTTTTAATAGTCGAGGGACTCAACAAAGCAACACTATAATTGAAGGATCATTTTGTAATTTTTAATAGTCAATGGATTAATTAAAATAATATCCATAGTCGGGGACTATTTGTGTACTTTACTCTTTTATTTATTTATCAATTTGACTAGGTCTATAAACGAACTGAACGAACACGAACATAAACGAACAAAAAGTTTATTGTTCGTGTTCGTTCGTGTTCGTTTATTTAAATGATAAACGAACACAAATGAACAAACATAAACGAACGGATGTAAACGAACATAAACAAACATAATAAACGAACGTAAACGAACACAATAAACGAACGTAAACGAACATAACTGGAAATGAACACACATAAACGAACATATTACCGAATGTTCACAAACGTAAATGAACGAACGAACCCTCTGTTCATGTTCGTTCATTTAATTAAACGAACACAAAATTTTATTCATGTTTGTTCATTTAATAAATAAATGAACATAAACGAACTTCCCACCGAACAGTTCACGAACAGTTCGCTAAACGTTCGATTCGTGTATAGGCCTAAATTTCACAATTAAACATTTAAAAATGGTCACTGTTTAAAATTAAAACCTCTAAATTAAATTTAGTGATCAATTAATTAATAAATATGATATTACGTTTCAACGTAATTAAAATAATGACATTTTGTCCCATCACTATTTCTAACCCTTCTTATGGAAATTTCGGGGGGAAAATGGAACTGAAACTAATTAAATTGAAATATAATGACTAAACCCGGAATTTGTCCGCAGTGAGTGACCCATGGTGGAATTCGACTAAAACATTTCAGCTTTGGAAAATTCGAAAAAAAATTTGGAACCAATGGGCAAACCACAACAATACAAAAGAAAACATCGGTCTCACTCCTTCAAACAAAGCAAAGCCTTAGCTTGAAGATCAACCCTTTGTGCTCTGATGATGATTTGATAAGCCTAAGATTTCAAGCCTTTCAATAATTTCGAATCGCAGTCACCAAACCAAACCCAAGAAAAAACAATGCTGGAGCCATCTTCTCAACCCCAAGATTACCTAACCTCACTCACCAAGCCGCCGCCAGCTCCGCCGCCCACAAAACCTAATCGGTTTCCGTCTTTGATATCCAGCAGACCCGCCCTCCGAGTGACTTCCGAGTTCGACAGCGACAGCCGAGTGTTCTTTCACAAGGTGTCGTGTAAGCTGTTCGACGACCTCGCTAAGCTTAAGCTCTCCTTCGTCAACAGCGTCAAACGTGAGATCTCGGAGCCTCTCTTGGCGTTAACTTCGAAGCACTTGTCGATTCACTATGACCCTGAAGAACAAAATGCCCTCATCAAGAGCTCCTTCGATGTGGGTCCTAAGTTGCATTTCAAAGCTGCTCACGATGTCAAGGTTTACCCTTCTTTTTCCCCTTTAAAAGGCATGTTTCTGCTAATGGTAGTTCTTGAGTTGCTAATGTTAATGAAAATATATAAAGTTGAAAGCTTGGGATTATCATTTGACACTACTTGCTTACCCCTGAATTGCTCTACATGTGAGATTTGAAAATTTGGGTGAGGGTAATTAGGATGCAGCTACAAAGAGAGAATTTTTTGTATAACCACCGGTATCACGCATTGGTCTCATTAATCCGGATCTGATACTGTAGAGGTCCATTATGAGAATTGGGAAATTTAAATTTACTATTGCTCTTGAAGCCAATACTATTATCATTATGTTAAGTGAGTGCTAAATGAATATTTCTTTGATGCCATACGTATGCTATCCCTTAAATATCCCGTGTTTTTTCTCTCAGGCGAAACTAGGTGAGGTCGCGATGATTGCAAACCTTGCTGATCCTGGTTATGCTGTTGAACTATCATCTCCTGTTCCATATGTTGGTTTGGTGAGTACTATTTATCTGTAGTGTCTTATTAGTGAAAATCATTCACTTATAATTACAGGAAGATTTCAATCTTGCTGCTTACAGGTGATAGTATGGCTGCAATTTGAGCTGTTTTTTTCCTTTTGCTATTTGTTGTGTTTTTTTTGTCGATGCATTTCGTTGAAAAAGTATTTGGTAATTCATTTTCAGCTATTGTTTGGGGTACTCGATTGTAAGATGTGTGTGGCATCATACTGCTGTTATTATCTGTATGAATAACTCAACATCGGATTGGTGATAGTGCCCTTGTATTTTTATGGTTATGCCATGGATTATCACCTTTTGATGTGCTTCTTTTCCAATTTAATGAGCTTATTAAACATGTTTGCATCGCACTTTTACCTTCTAATTAACTCCATTACTATCTTGTTTTCTTAGCCTAAAGCAACTATCACCTTTTGATGTGCTTCTTTTCCAATTTAATAAGCTTAAACATTGCGATGTCGCACTTTTACCTTCTAATTAACTCCATTACTATCGTGTTTTCTTAGCCTAAAGCAACAATTCGATTCCCCACGGGTGAAGTTACACTCGAGGAGAAAGAAGAGGAAGAGGAAGTGCCAAGGAAATTATTGATAAATGGAATTCTTAAAGGTCCGATTTTGAATGGGGTCGGTGCAGCCCATTACACTGACGAAGAACTGAAATTAAGATACTCGTATAAGGTGATTTTTCCGTCAGCTTTATAAGCTACTGTGGTTTGTATGAGAGTTCCACTGTCATATTTCTTGTTGAATAACTTAGATGCCTCATTGTTTAACATTATGGATGCCCGATTTTCCGGCTTTTGATGTTTCCTTGCCATAGTGGTTTTGATGGTTTTTGAATTGCAGGATGGAGCACTGTCATTTATTCCTTGCATTTCACTGCCGTCGAATGCTGTATCATTTGCATTCAAGCGACGTTTCACTCTATCTGATAAGTTGAGGTTAGAAACCCTCCACACATATATGTCAATATTGGAATCTCAAATTACATATTCTTATTGGCTATCGACATGTATCTTTTTCTGGACATGAGTTATTTTTCTTCCAATATCTATTTCTATTTTATCTGCAGCTATTGGTACAATTTCGATTCGAACGGTTGGAGTGCCGTCTACAAGCACACCTTCGACAGAGACTTCAAATTCAAAGCTGGCTACGATTCAGAGGTCCGTCTTGGCTGGGCTTCACTATGGGTAAGTTCTCGTATTTGCATCAACTTTCTTGCTTTCTTCTTCCTGAACTATATGGTCCTTATATGGCAAGGTTACCATTTTGATGACGTTCGTTTCAGGTCGGAGAAGAAAACGGAAAGGCAAGGACGGCCCCGATGAAAATGAAAGTCCAGTTCATGCTCCAGGTACCACAAGATGACATTAAATCATCAGCGTTAATGTTTCGTGTTAAAAAGAGGTGGGATATATTGTAGTCTCAATACACTTTATAAACGGTGTGGTTTTAGAACCTTTATAACAGTGATGCTATTTGCCGTATAATGACAATATTGCATCACTTGGCTGATGAAGTTACTCTTTAATTTATACTTATTTGTCTCTCAACTCTTTTTTTTCCTTTGTTGAAATTAGGGTGAGCAAAGCTCGACTTTAAAAAATGATCTTTTTATTTTTTAGTTATTTGAATCAATTGATATAGTAGGATGAGACACTAGATTCTTTAAGCAAGTTCAAGGGTTCAAACCTTGGCGATTGCGTATGAAACAAATTGAGTTGGGAGGGTTGACGCCTCTGTAAAATTCGATCTAAATTAATCGATCAACATATCGAATACTAATGATTAATTCAAAAAATATTCAACATCTGTCTTTGATTCTACGCATTACGAGGACAGTTGGAAGTCATACTATATATATATATATATATATCGTATCTAATACTTGTATTTGAATCCAACCACAAAAATTCTAAATCTGACATGAAAGAACAGAGTTGACAATATAAGCTTGTAGTTAAACATTGGTAATTGTCAGAAGAACACGAGATATACGAGTTCTAACACAAATACTAGGTAACAGGACAGCCATCAGCAATTACGCCTTCTGCAGTTGGACAAGCAGCAAGGGGACACCCTTCTCCATTGTTGCCCCACCATTGGAGGCCAATGTCCTTTGATTGTAGTGCAAGAAACAACAAGATCGTCATAAAAGCAGTTCCGGCATCGAGACCACCCGAGAGGACATAATTGTAGCGTTTCCACCACTCTGGTCTGTATTTGTAAAGAACGTATCCGAAAAGGAAGGCCATAATCAGCCAACTTGTGAAGTTTACTGCGGTGGCCGGAGGCATCATAGACGTTGCGCCCAAGAGGACCGGCATGTGGATGAGGCGAATCCATTCTTTATCTGGAAATGCCTTGTGCGCCAGCCATACTAGGAGAGGAGCTAGTGCTCCTCCAAGAAAGAACCAATTGACGTTCCCGTACTCACCTTCCGTTCCGAATATTCTGCGTGGTCCGACTAGCCCCCATATAACGGATGCATCGAAGAACACGTTGTCCATTGGACAAGTCCATGGACTGTCAGGTGGCAACAAGGAGGTATCACAAAGATTGGGAATTTCTTCCATAAGCCACCATGCTGTTAGGGTGTACACAAAGACTGAAACAATTGTTCCTACCACCTGCAAACGCTGACTCGTTAGATAGCAAACGATATAGGTTCACATTCGACCCTTTCCGAGAGAACTTTGGTTTTCGGGATTGTAGACAGAGAACTGACCTGTGCTGTGAACATCGATCGAGGAGGAATCTTCATGTAATGGCCGAGTTTGAAGTCCGAAACAAAGGTTAGAGCTTGAGCCATGCTTATGTATCCATACACCTTGAAGCACATATTAGCAACAGGGTGCTCTGGGTACATATATCCAATCACATATTCAGTAATAATGTTCAAACCCGGAGCCTACAGATGCACAAAAAAACCCGAAAATCGATTTTAGAAGCCTTGGAAATCAAGTCTTAGTGCAGATATAGTTTTCCTTTACCTGATTTGTGGTAGCAGCAATGATGCCAATAGGAAGGGTGAAGAAGAAAGCAATGGCACAAGCTAATAATACACCCCACCAGGGCAACTGGAGCGTTTCGTTATAGTATTCGCAAATGAATAGTATAAGGGCAAGATTCAACATGAGGATTGCGACGAACCACCACGTAGGAACGAATTTGTACTTCTTCATAAGCTTTGTGTGAATGTCCATCTTCTTATTATCTAGAAATGCACTTTTGGTCTGCTGCCATAGGTTTCTGCATATAGCAAGAGAAAATGAGAAAATAGACATTACTTTTGAAGTCATATTAGTTTGTTAGTAGGGCTTACCTTCCATCAAACAGTAGGACATGGAAAATTGTTGCAGTAAGGGTAGCGAAACCAATGCCGTAGGTCATAGCAAAGAAAGTGCTGAGATGTACTCGCCCGTCTCGCCCGTAAGCCTCCTTGTCTAGATGAAACATGGGATCGACGATGCTCAATATGTCGTACAATTCACCGTTCGACTTGAAAAGTTTACTAGAATAAATGGGGAAGTTTTTGGCTTTGTAGACATCAAACCAATACGAGAGTGGTGTCATGACGTACATCACAAGGAAGAAACCGACCGCGATATTGGCAGTAGCAAACCATGGACTAGCGAGTGGACTTCCTAGGTACGAGGAAATTGTCGCCCAGTCGAGACCGAACGAACCAATTCCAAGTCCTTTCAAGCCCGAGCCGAGTTGTTGGACCAAAACTGACTTGGGAGCCAACCAGCAAACCCAGGAGAATGAAGTCAGTGTGCTGAAAAGATATCCAGGGAGAACATAGTAGGCAAAGCTGCAGATCAAGACCAGCAGAAAGAATTGATTAAGAGTTGTTCCGCCTTTCGGTCTCTTCTCTTTCTCGTGCAAAGCCCTGCAGTAATAACAGTCAATTCGATAAGGACCTATATACGACCATCGGCAGAGGGATGCAATAATGCATGAAAATGAATACCTGAACAAGGAGACCATGACCAGGTTACTAGGCCACCACATTTCCCCTGGCTCAACCAGATATTTCCTGAAAATCCCGGCCCAACCGAACCCCAAAACCTATAATCAAACAACAAGAGCAACTTCATCATATTGAATACATAAAATGTTCATCATCAGAATTCAGAAGATTCAAGGAGCAAGAATTAAGAGGAAAAAAGAAGAAGAAAGACCTGGGTTGTCATCATAACAAGAAGGGCAGGGATAAATGTAAGATTCCTCTTATAGTAGAGCTTAACAGCACTCAAAATATGAGTGGCATAAACAGTTCCAGCTCCAGAGTTGGCAAAGATAGTAATCAAAACATGCTCCTTCATATTGAATGGACCAGGGTTCATGGTGAACTCCCATCGCGTGTTCTCCAAGAACAGGCGATGAGGCAGCGTTCTCGCCATCAAATGGCCGAGTGGCACGACGGCAATCATGGCGGAGATGGAAGAAATCGACAAGGGCATCGTCCTGTACCAAAAGAACTGGTTGACAAACGAGAGAACAACACAGGAACCGAGACCCAGAAACCACATCCGGAATGTGACGGCAGGCAAAGTCGGGTCGTCGGTTTTGGGAACCGTGATTTCAACTTGTTTTACAGGGCAGCATTCTTCTTCAATCTTGTCCAGCTCCATAGCTTCCATCTCAGATACCTCCCCCATCATGCTCTTGCTGTCTTTGCTAAGCTAACACACGCATATCAACAAACAAATATTGAACAAGAAAGCTGGAAAACTCGGAGTGTGGCAATGGTGGGTCAGGGATCTTTGAAAAGAACAACAAAAAGATTCATACTTTGGGATACTTGTGAGTTGCCATCAAAGCAGGCACACACACATAATGTGAATGTGAAAAAGGAGAAAATTAGCAGAAACTGAGGAACACAAATGCAGTTGGGTACAAGTAGTTTCAACAATATTTTGGTTAGGCTTTATTCAAAAGGATTTTCCATTTTCACAGGGGTGCAAGTGGAGAATGTGGGAAAGGTTGGCACTTGTAGGTATGATAAGGTTGGAAGTCAAAATAGGCCTAATCACATTTTGACGTTCCAATTTTTTCAGTATAGCCATTTTAGTCCTTAATTTAACTTAAATGTGACAGACCAATAATGTTGTTTGTTTCTATTGAAATGTTAACATCACCTGTTCCGTTCTTCTTCACCGTGACATCAAAATATTTGAAAATAAAAATAACAATATATATATAATTTGTCCTTACCAAAATGTTAATACCATTTATTTCTTAACTAGACCTGGTAAATTTATCTCGAACTCGATTAACTGAACTGATTTATTCAACCCAGTACCTGATATTAACTCAAATATAATGATCAAATTTGATTTGAAACCCGAACCATACCCGATCTAAAATTTAGCTGACCAAATATGGATCAATATCCAATTTGATCTAAATCGAAAACAATCCGAGCCGAAATTAACCCGAACCGAAACTACTCGAACTGAATTTAACCCAATCCGAAATTAATTGAATCGAAAACAATCTGAACCGAAAATTTATATATACTTGATTAGACTTATAACCAAATTAACCCTAAATGATAAGAAATGAAAATCTATTTTTACAAGAATATATCAATAATTCTACATATACTTGATTAGACTTATAATCAGTTCAATCCAAATTGACATGATCCAAAGGTTGACCCAAATAAAAAATCAATCGATCTGATATTAACCCAAACCGAAAAACAACCGATCGATAGTCACCCGACCCAATTCAATTTACCATACACCCAAACTAAATCCGAACCAGAGTAGATCCAACCTGAATAAAATTAAACCGAATATAATCGAGACCAAAATGACTCGATCCGAAATGACCCAAACCAAACCTGATCCAAATGACATGTTTTTCTTAACCAATTTTAATATTGTTTGGATTTTCTCATGATCTATAAGAGGAAAAAATAATGGACGTTAATGTTTCATTAAGTAGAAAATATCATAGTTGTTAAGACACACTTGAGTCAATGACAAAAAAAATAAAAGTTCAATATAAAAATTGAAACAATAAAATTAATAAAATCAAAGGGATCAAAAGATCATTATACCAAAGTAAAGTACAATTCAGAACTGCAATTATTAAAATGATAAAGACAAAATAAGGGAAAAAGATGGAGTGAAAAAGACGAGTAAAGTATGTGAGAATCTATCGGAATCTTATTATGGAAATGCTAAACAATTCCCAAATGTAGTTTTTAAACATTACTTGTTATTTTAAACTAACCAATACAAAGCTAGGTTTGAACATTGCATGTGCTTTCGGCCCTTAGTTAAATGGATTACTTTTAATTAATATTGAAGGGTAAAATACACAAATGGTCCCTCGACTATATATTATTGCTTTATTGAGTCATCTGACTATTAAAAGCTACAAAATAGTCACTCGACTATTCACTGTGTTCCAAACTCGTCCTTTTTCGTTAAAAAAATTGATGGTTGTTTGAGATGGACGTTAACCTGCTGATTGAGATACGATAGTCGTTTGAGATTCTGAGATCAAATTATATCATATCTTATCCAGCAGGTAAACGCCCAATTCAAACCACCATCAAATTTTTAACGGAAAATGAAGAGTTTGGAGCACAATAAATAGTCGAGTATCATTTTATAACTTTTAATAATCAGTGGATTTAAAAAATAATGTCTTATGGTCGGGGGACCATTTTATAACTTTTAATAATATGAGGACTTAAAAAAATAATATCATATAATCGGGGACCATTTATATACTTTACTCTATATTAAAACTTGAACTCAACGTCCAAGTTGAGAGAAAAACTTAATAGATCTCTACCTCAATTAACCGATAAAAGAAATAGGAATCTTTTACGTAGTGTGCGCTTTCTAAAAGATTAAGCATTTGGGGAATTAATTCCTAACATCAATCATGGTTGTGTAAACCCGACCCAACACGCCCTTCCCCCTACACCTTGTTTGATATTGACACTGACACCGAGTCAATAAGGATGAGTATGGATCGGGTCGGATTTTTGATCAATCAACTTGACACGAAAATTTTAAATCATTCACATGACCCGAAAAATATACGTCTTTCACTCCACCCGAAATAATATATTTATTAAAAAATATTATTTCTATTTAATAAAAATAGGGATTTAATTCAAAGAAAATAATATATAGAGGGTATTTATTGCAATTATCCCTAAATTTAAGGTAAAATTATATAAAAAAATAGGATCAAGTATTTTTACCCTAAATCTAAACCCAATCTGGCCCTAACATAACTTTAAAAAAACCGATCCGACCCGACTCGATCAAGTCGAAACCCGTTAGATTCGGGTCGCATTACCATGACTTAGCTCATCACATTAAATTTAATCATTTTGATTAAATTTCTAAAATAATAGAGATGCAATTGGCTTAGTGCATCCAGGGCAGGAGGGGCACCCGCCCTGGCCCATAAAATAATTTTTTACCATCTCCACCTTTCTTCGACACCATTGTGTTTTTGCTTAAACGCCAGCGTTTCGATATCGGCTATACCTTGTACATCAGCATTATTCACTAATACCATGCCCCTTCTTATCTTTATCCTTTCTACAAGGTTGTAAGTTGACAAATCTGAAATTGTATCTTATCCAGTCGATTATTGGTCCCCCTCTCCACTTACTATGTCCCATTCTTCGTTAATCATTTTATCCTTCAGATCGAGTGGGAAAAGACTCGATACCTTCAGTGGTTTGACCCAACTAGATTTTAAATTTACTTATCAAGCATGAAAGATGGTGAAATTACATGGTTTGATCATTTTTATTTTTATTTTATTCGTTTTGATGATCGAAATTAAAATTTTGACCACTAAATCGGGTAATCTTTACTACCCAAATCACGTAAGTTTGACATGACAATGTTTCAATTTCAAAGATTAAAGTGAACGAAATCGAAATAAAAATGATTAAACTTGTAATTTACATAAAGTCTTCTTAGCCTCTAATATAAGCAAGTAGGCTTTATTATCTCCTATAATGCTGTCCAATCCCGGATTTGCATTTAATCTTTTTTTGACTTACACTGTGAAACGGATCCCAATGTTTACAAGGTGTCACCAATATTTGACTAAAAAAGGGTAGACTTCTAACATAACCAAAAAATCACGCTTCATAGACCACCACATTGATTTTTTTGGAAGTGTTACGAACACAAGTAAAACTATAATCAAAACTCGAAGGCAATCCACACACGACTTCCACAGCTAGGGTATAATTCATCGACACCGATTTGATTGAACTTTTTATATACCATTTTGTAATATTTGAAGGATCGCTGACTAAAAAGATTGTTTTTATACGGAGAATCTGACAACTCGAGTTAAAAGCAACATCTAAGGGACAAAGGGTCTTTTTTTCTTCACAACTGCTTCGAGAGAACAAGAATAAGACGAGCAAGTTGCCTCTGAAGATTGGATATGGGTGGCTTGGGATCTCCTTAACCATATGATAATAGTCAAATCTCACGAATCAACTATTTTTGGCTACCTTTGCCATTTTCTGGATTTCTGATAAATTTTCCACATACCTAAAGATTAAGACTTCACCGGTACATATTTGACAAGGGATCATTTCAGTTCACCGTATCATATCATCAGCATGTGCTTGTGGAACCAACGAAAAGCATCGAACGCGAAGGAATCATGCAGGGTTATGTCTCTCTATACTCGTGTCTAGATATGGATCAAACACGGATGTTGAACACGAGTACTTCGAGAGAAAAAAGAATGAAGATTTAGAACATAGGATCAGAACACTATTGATGCTAGAGCTCAGTTCAAGTATAGCATGCATAATTGAATACAGACCTAAAAGTCGCAGGTTAATTCGGAAAACTGCGTATTAGCTCAAATGGCATGCATATTAGGTATACTCTATAAAGCATTAAGGGTAGCTCCACAAGAAAAACACCAAAAGTTACCATTAGTCAGCGTGAATGCATTAAATTCTATACTACATCACATGCAGATAGAACCCAACATTGATTTTGCACCTCTGTATTCACATACCTGCGGTCCAGGATATTCCCACTTTCTCATTCCTAAAAGACCTATTCTCGTGTTTTCTTAACTGCATATGAAGTCCGTGCAGCAGAAACTTTAAAAACCAACATTCAAGTAGGTGGTTTAATAGCAGAACTTGAATTGTTGTCATACCTGAGCACAGTGATGATCTTAGCGAAGCGTACTAAAGTCGTATATGCGCCAACCAACAGCATCAAGGTGGATGATATATTTTCTTCAGGGGCCAACAGATTAAAAAGCATGGACATATATTGCCATAAAATTATTGGCAAACAAATAGTAGTAATTTTGGTACAGAAGAACTAGCGTTATACACTACTGAATCTTCAAAAGATAAGAACACGGTACTACATTTACTCGGAACATCTAAACGGATTTATCTCACAACCCGAAAATAAATAATCACATCAATAATAACTGCTCACCTTATGCCAGGAAGCTTGAAATGCAGCAGCAGTACTTCACGACATAGTCCACACTTACATTTACAGCGAGAACTCCGAATCGCAACGTATTATTTCTTGCACTACTACTAACAAACACCTACCGGTAAGAACTGTGATTAAGTTTTCTGGTGGGTGGGAAAAGAAAATAATTCAGACTTCATAAATAAGAGCAGGAAAGTTTATTGTTTCATTTTATTTATTTTATTCGTTCATTCTTTTTATTCAGACTTCATAGAGGGAGAGATGGGAACCGAACTGCGGAATAATTTTGGGGAAAATGAATATACATGAAATTATTTCACTGCACATCCATAGTCAAATACGTGCAAACCAAGACTCTCAACTGCAAACATAAACAGGTATGGAAGAATTCGATGAAATGAATATGAAGTCATTTCAAATAATTCAACCACATACAGTTCGCTACTTTCTAGCAGAAATAGAAACACTTATAAAACATCTAG